AAAAGCAGCTGTGGGCAAAGAGTTGTTGAAAATTCCCTCTGGCTTTGTCCTGCTTGGGGATCTGAGAATGTGAAATGAGAAGGGTATAAAATAGAATTAGATATCAAATATAAATAAATACATTGAGGTGTACACAAGACATCCATTTCTGTAATACAGAGATAGATATTGATAAAGAGTTCTGATAAATTGATAAAGAGTTCTGAACAGCTCCAAGTGCATCTGGGTGTGTGTGGGGCTGAATCTGAGCTCTGAGGGCTCAGCTTGGATTTGGATTTAATGATCTTATAGAAACATGGAATTCTGGAATGGTTTAGGCTGGAAGGGACCTTAAAGCCCATCCCATTCCATTCCTGCCATGGCAGGGACACCTCCCACTGCCCCAGGCTGCTCCAGCCTGGCCTTGGGCACTGCCAGGGACCCAGGGGCAGCCACAGCTGCTCTGGGCACCTGTGCCAGTGTCTCTGTGCCTTAGAGGTGCTTTTAAATTATTTTATCCTGATTTCACAAAATAACAGTTTGGAAAACACCTCTTTTGAAGGCTCAGGGACATCTGGGGAGCAGCAAGAACACAAACAGGAACTAAAGGGGAACAACCTCTAATAATGACAACAAAACTCCTTTATTCTTTAACCATCATCCCTGGGGTAAAATGAAGGGGAAAAAAACCCACATAAAACTTCTTCATTGTGTTCAAACACTTTTCTATCAGCAAGAGGTGACAGAAGAGTGTTCCCTGGTGTTTATCCCTCCTCTTTTCCTAACCAGCTGCAGTCATACCTGCTGGATAGCTCTGGGGATGATCCCTCTGTTCCTGTACTCAGAGGCTGCTCCTGTCATGGTGTAGGTTTTGCCAGCTCCAGTTTGCCCATAGCACATGATGGTACCTAAAAAAAACCCCAAAGCAAAAGGAAAAATTCAGGAGGGAGCCTCCAACAGAACAGCAAATGGCTCTCTGCTCAAACCCAACCTCTTGTTGTGACCAAAAGAATAAGAATTGCTATAAATCACCGTTGTAGCCCTGCAGAGCTTTGCACACCAAGTCCTTGGCCACAGTGTCATAAACCATTTCCTGGGAAGTGTTGTGCAGGACCCCATCCAGCTTGAAGGACCAGTCAGTCTGAGAATTATTCACAACTCCTCCCCTGGGATTCTTCTGGATGTAGATATCGATGCTCTGCAAGCCAACAAGAGAGGGAGATCAGCTCAACAGCCCTGAGGGCTCTCAGCACTTCAGCACCTGGGGTTAGGCAGAAAAGGGAGCACAAATAACAGAGTTATTTTACTGCCTTGGATGGTTCTAGATGCCCTAAAAGTATCTGGTAATGCTCTCCAAATTCCTGGTGACAAATATTGTAAAAATAAAAGGAAATGTGGTTAAGCTCATCTGTTTAACTTTCAGTGATTTTGTGCCTCAGGGAAATTAATTAAGCAGGAGAAGGCAGAGGGAGGGATTTGCATAAGAGAGGATGGAAATAAACGGTGCCAATTTGTGGTTAGCACTGGGAAATCCTGATGGATCAGCCAGCCCCAGTCCTTTGGAGGGTTTTCCTGGTGATTGTACCACAGGAATTTGTGTTTTCCATCCTCACACTCGCTGTGACAAAACCACAGCCAAGCAGGAACACAGCAACCAACACCCCCAAAACATCATCCATGGCCTCAAGGGATGGAAAAATCCTGGTTTTCCATTGGAAAAAGCTGAAACCAGACTCCAAACCTTTCCCACTTCAGTTTCTTTTGCTCTACCTTGTTGTCTGCCCCAAGCCTGATCATGTCTTGGGCAAAATGAGCAGTTGGCTTGACCCGCACGAACGCCATGACTCGACTTGGTGCTCTGAGGACAGAGAAAAACGAGGAAAAGAATCATCTCACACTCCCTAAACTGAAATTTAGATTATTTCCCAGCAAAAGGTGAGGCAGAGGAGTCAAAATTCAAAGCAAAGTGTTGGCAATTATTCAGCTGAAGTTTTTATTCCCCATTAAAAGCAATGATGGGCAAAGAGTGGCTGAAAATTAAAGGTGAATTTAATTCCTTCCAGCCTTGGAAATCTGAGGGTGTGAAAGGAGAAAGGTCAAACTGATCCTGATTTCCTGATTCCCTCATGTGCACCAGGCTCAGGAGTGCTGGAGAACACCACTTTTCCTCCTCTTAGCCTTGGGAAGCAAAATATTCGCAGGAATTGGAGAGGGATTTTCTTTTGTCACCCTCAGATTTTTATTTTAAAAATAATTTCAATTCCAAGTCAACAGCTGATTTTCAATTTGCTGGAGGAAATATCCACAGGCTGGAGGATCTGCTGAGTAAAAATCCCACGAGGAAGGCTCAGGGATCATCCAGCTGCTGGAGCCCCATGCACTGAGGATTTTTAAATCCCTGGAAATGTGTAAATCTCACATTTTCCCTCAAACACTTCCTGCAGACAGCAGTGCTCAATAATTGTGTAAAAAGCAGTGACAGCTTCTGGTTTGGGACAAAATCTTTGGGATTTCTGGTACATCCAGGATTTTTGTGACCTCTCACACTTTACCTGCTGTAAAAGGAATTGTGGAGCTGAGCCAGGATTTGTTGTGTTTAAAGCAGGGAGTCAGGAACAGAGTTCCCAGGGCAGCTGTTATTCACAACAAAATTAAAAACCTCAAAAAAAAGGGTTTTTTCTACTTGTAAAAAAAATCTCCATAACATTAACAAAAAAGACTTCTCCCCTTAAATAAACTAATAAAAAACTATTCTAAAAATAATAAACTAAAGATTTTAAGCATAATTTCTTTACATTATCAGAAAAAAAAAAAAGTGGGGGGAAGAGAAGTATTCTGAAAGGTTTATTTTAATCCTCACTACATTTTTTCCTTTTAAACACTATTAATAAAACTTTCTTGATACCCTTTTAAAAGTTTTAAACCTATTTTACCTTTCTGCTAATCCTATCTCCCAATAATAATAATTAACCAATTAACCACCACACTCGTCAACACATTAATTAATTTTTTTTTTTCATTGAAAGATGCCTTTGGGGCATACCTGGGGCTGTCCCCCTCGTGCTCTTTTTCCAGCAGGGAGGTGATGATGCTCTCCAGGTCCTCCTCCTTCTCCTTCTTCCCCTGCTCTGGGCTGGCCTTCTGCTCCTGCTCCTGGAATTTCGCAGAAATCTGTCCAAAAAAACCCCAAAAGCCAATGTTGGAGCAGTTGGGAATTATTCCTCCAAAGCAAGGAAAACAGCAGGGAAAGGAGGAAGGGAAATTTGTTTGGGAATAACTTCAAAAAGAATCAGAGAGAGAAGAAATTATTTATAATTTCTTTAAATTTATGAAATTGTATATCATGTATATCATTACATTATATATACATATTATATAATGTATATAATATTGTATTTACATTATATAATATTATGTAATGTAAATATGAGATTATATACATTATATAATATTACATTATATAATATTATAATTATATAATGTAAATACAATATTACATTATATAATTATATACTATATAATGTAAGGTAATAATAGAATAGAATAGAATAGAATAGAATAGAATAATATATAATATTATAAATTAATAATTTAAAATTACATTATATAATTATATAATAACAAATAATAAAATTATATATTGTATATAATTATATTATATACATATTATATAATGTATATAATATTATATTTACATTATATAATATCATATAATTTAATATATAATGTTATATAATTTATATAATATTCTAATTATATAATGTCATATAGAATATTACACTATATAATTATAAATTATATAATGTAATTATATAATATATATCATAATTATATATAATATATATAATTATATAATATCATAGTATATAATATATATAATTATATAATATCATAGTATAAAAAAGTATATAATAAAATAATAATATATAATTTATATATCATAGTATATAAATATATATTACATTATATAATAGTATAAATTAATAATTTAAAATTACACTGTATAATTATATTATTATAAATGATAAAATTATATTATATATATAATTACATTATATATATTATATAATGTTATGTTTACATTATATACTAATATATATTTATATTGTGTGTCTATATTATGTATATATATTATGTATATATATTATGTATATCTTATATATTATGTATTATAAATTATAAATTATAGATTTCCATTATATAATTACATTATACATATATATTTATGTTATATAATTTAAAAATAGCAACTATGAGATGCAAGATAATTTCTGTAACTAGCTCAGGAAAAGAATGAGATAATCAAGGAATTTTTTGTACAGAGATAACAGCAACAAGACACCCACATCTCCAATAAAACAATTATTGCCTCCTTATCAGGAAAGACACAAACTGTTTCTGCCTCCTTCCAGACATGAAGGAGCCAACAAGATGAAGAAGAGGGATTTGAAAACAACCAGAAAACACTGTTTGAAGAGAACTTTTGCATCATGTATGAGATATATGAATTTGCAACAAGCTGTTGCTTTTAAGGGTTAATCCTTTGTTAATTCTGGGTTAATTTGCCCAGAAAGACACCTGGACTGCCCATCTGTCTTTGTTTTTATTGTCCTAACTCTGGTCATCCAAATTCTTATTAATCTAACTTGTATTACTATTTTTATAACTATTTTATTACTAAAAATTCAAGTTTTAAATTTTAAAATCACTGAAAAAAAATTTAAAATTACTAAAAAATTAAATTTTTAAATTTAAATTTCAACTTTTAAACCAAGTGATTGGCATTTCTCCCAGCCTTGGCAGCAGTGGGAGGTGACCCTGCCATGGGACAGGGGGTGGTTTGAGGTCTCTCCCCAGCCCAGCCATGGCGGATCCGCTGGAATTACCTCATGTTCGTTCTCTGCTTTGCCTGCAGAACTTGCGCTCTTTTCCTGCCCCTGAGAGCTCTCCTGCTCCTCTTCCTCCTGCGGGGAAAAAACAGCTCCAGTCCCACATGGGCATCACCCACACATCCCCAAACCTCGCCAGGGGGAGGCTCCCGTCCCAC